TTGTCTCCACAAATTCCGGAGGATTCATTGACAAAGGTGTTTCGTATGGATCCCTTGACATTGGTGGTCTCTGTAAAGAAGAATTGAGACTGTGTGACATAAGAGCGTTGACCGGCCGGTGTTTTCTTCGCCACTGACTTGGAGTTTGGCGCAAAACATAATAACTCTCCCCTCCTCCATCTCTCGCAAACCTCTGCTTGCTGCCTAATGTTGAAACCTTCATTTAGCACCTTCACGGTCTCCCATTCTTCTTCCTCCAATAAACCCCCTCTGATTCCGTTTTCTAACTCCTGCATACTTCCGCCATAATCTTCTAATTGTACACCATGGCTTGAGAATTGAGACTGAGATAAAGAGGATTCAATAAAACTAAAAGAAGAACTAAACTCTGAACCAAAATATATACTATCCTCCAAAACTTCTCCCACTTGCGCTTCCTCCATTGATACCAAAGATGATGTAATCTAAGAAACCTGAGGAGAACCTCGAGACTGAGAGTTGAAATCATTATTCATACACAACCAAGTTCCCGTTTCTTCAATAGTTGGTGATGGACGCCCAAGGTAACTTGGATTTGCTATATACTGAATGCCCATTGATTCACCAACATCCCCTACAAAAAAGACTTGTCTTCACCAGACATCTCTTCCACATAACTTGGAACGGAGCCTGAATCCCCCTCCTGAACTTCTTGCCGCAGCCAAGCCAAATTGACCTCCACCATAGTAGTTTTTTTCTCCCCAAGATCCAACTCTCTTTCCCAGTCTCCTTCATCTGGCTGGCAAATAGTAAACCTTGTCCAGATACCTCTTTCATCCTTTAAGGTTAACCTTTCCCTGACTGCTTTCCCAAACTCCATTCCCGCTCTAAAGTCCATAAGGAAGGGCCGTCCCAATAAGATTGGACATTTACTCTCCTTGGCAATCCAAAATTGAGCCACACCCTGCACTCTAGTCCCTACTACCACTCCTATAGCCTCCCCAATCCCAACTAACTCTGTCCTTTGTCCTCCAATGCCTCTAATGCCTGATCTGATAGACACCAACCCTGTTAAACCTAACTCCTCCGCTACTGATTCCGGAAGGATGTTGATTTGGGATCCAGAATCAACCAAAGCCTTGACCCTGTTCTTCTTTCCGCCAAGCATAATGTCCAAATATCCTAAAGGACAAGAGTAGAGTACATCCTCCCCATCATCTTCACTTTCTGAACTAGACTCTTCTTTGTCTAATCCACCAGTAGCTGCTCTTAATGGCTTGATAATCCTAGGAATAACAACCCGCCGCTTAGAAACCTGCTTCTTGACATGTTCCGCCAATACTGGTGAGATAGCACACAGTTCCCCAACCTCTGCCTCTATCTTGGTCTTCATTATTTTTGTCACCACATTATCCATCACCCCCTCATAACCTTTCTCCACCGGTCTTTCAAATCTTCCCTTGACTATATCCTTCTTCTGAATCTTTGGTGCTACTACCGTTGGCCTCTTCCTTTCTTTTAATTCCGCCAACGGGATATCTTCACTACTATCTTTGTCTTCGGCCAACTCCATGATTTCGTCTCCTTGATC